GGGGGGGGGGGTTGTACTCGTCTACTCTTTCCAATGTGAGATGATGTTTCTGTTTACGAGATATCTTTGGTGACTTCATTGATCTTTAATCTCCACGACTTTAGTATACATAGGAATTGTATGAGTATACACGTACTGGTGTTGCGTATATTTGTCTAAAAGTTGTACTCAATTTCTTTTATCAAAATAATACAATCTTTTCATTTTTGCAGGAAATCAAAAGAATACATTCTATTAGACTGAAAAGCCAAAAAAACTAATCTATACTTCAGTTTGCTCCTTAATTAGCACACATTTTTTCTTAAGATATATATGTGTGACTTGCGAGTTTTGCGCCAGTAAATAACATATTATTCAAGACGGTTCAAAATGTATACTGAGTGGTTTAACCAACATCAAAAAGACCATGGGTAAGTAAGACTAGTATGGCTTCTGGGCTAACCGAATATCCTAGAATCCAATCATGTGAAATCAAACAACAAAAGTAGAAAAAAACCAACCAAATCCTCCAAAAATCATACATTTTTTAATCAAAGGAGCCCTAGATTATGAAAAAGCATATGGTAGAATAATAGAGTTTCTTCTAAAAATGATGAGATATAAAGATTTGGTCCAGAGTGGATGACTCTTGCCCCGTTCCCTATTAAGTAAAGGACATGTGAGATGATTTACTCCAAGGAAGTGAGCGTGGCGAAGCGCTGAGAAAACGCACCTACTACCTCCCACAACAACATAAGGCATTAGGTGAGGGGCGCAGATTCTCTACCTTGCCATGGGCAAGGCAGGGAGCTACAATGCTCTACCTTTGTCTGAGAGACATTGGATCAAAAGTTGGCAGTCGAGATCGGGGCAAAGACTGTAGCAAATGCACTATAGCGAATGCACTGTTTAATGTTCCTATTCAGATCACTGTTTCGGTTACTGTAGCAACTGTACTGTTGCATCAGATCTGGGCGGTCCGTTCTCGACCCAACAGACAAAAGAAGAGGAAAGGCAGAGGTACTGTAGCTCTCTGCCTTGCCCATGGCAAATTAGAGAATCCACAACCTCAGGTGAGATCCCCAATGTCCAAGATATTCTTGAAGAGTTCGAGCCTGGAATTATGTAATGCCCACATGAGACATTTTCAAGGGGGTACCACATGAGTGGTGTTCTACCTCCCATGCTAATGGCCAAGACGGATCACTAATCACACAAGCAAAATAGGATACCATCCATCATCATTTCACTTCTTTCATGTTGCGAAGGCCGACTAGGGAGCTTTACTTCAACTGGCCAGGCATGGTTTTCAAGGAGTGTGACCTTGAGTCAATCACATACGCCTTCCCAGGGGAGGATTTCCTTCTTGTCATCCATGATTTTCCTAGTGGGAAGGTTCCGGGCCCTAATGGTTTCATTGGTGCTTTTTTGAAATCTTATTGGCAAACTATCAAGCATGACGTCATGAGAGTTATTCACCTGTTCGAAAACCTTCATTATGAGAACTTTCGTTGGCTAAATTTAGAAAATGTGGTGGTCCTTAGCAAGAAGGATGATGTTGAGTGCATCTCTGACTTTTGACCTATTAGCCTGAATCATGCAATTGCAAAGATCATCACCAAGATTCCCACTTCTAGACAAGCCCCATTCATTAACCAACTCATTTTGAACATGCCAAAGCACATTCGCCAAGAAAAGAGCTTACATGACAATTACCTATACGTCAGAAACTTCGCCTGGAAGATGAAACACACCAGAAACCCCACCTTACTCGTCAAACTTGACATTCGAAAAGCATTTGACTTGGTCTGGTGGGACTATGTGCTTGATTTTCTCCAGATAATAGGATTCCCATCAAAGTAGAGAGATTGTATCACGTCCCTCTGTCCACTGCTACTTTGCGAGTTCACCTTAATGGCATTCTAGGGGCATGGGAAATGGCTCCATCAAGGCGATTGCCTGCTGTTGCTGTTGTTCGTCTTTGCTATTGACCCTTCAAAGCAGCTTCTTGACATGGCAACGTCCAATGCGATTTCCACCGCCTTCGGAGGAAGAAAGCCATGCTTCTAGACATTTCTGTGATGCGACGATCTTTTTGGCTCTGATCAAAGAAGACATTGACAACTTGGTAGGGCTGCTAAGAAACTTCAGCGAGATCTGTAGGCTTGAGACCAATGCGCAGAAGAGCATTGTCGCGCCTATCCGTTGTGAGGGAACAACCTCCCTGAGCTCATGGAGGACTTTAGGCATCCACTACAAGCTTCCAGATGCGCTATCTGGGGCTGCCCCTAACTATTCAGAGACTACATGGGTTGCACCTCCTGTTCCTCACAGACAAGTAGCGAACAAGATGGTTGGTGGATTATGAAAGCTTATTACTATTGCTGGTCGTGGCGCTCTTGTGAAACCGGTCGTCACGGCCCAAGAAATATACCACATGATTGCTCTCATCCTTCCTAAGGGAACGACCAAAGCAATCGCCAAACTTCAAAGATCGTTCTTGCGTCCTGCTTTGGACAAGGTCTCCGGTGGGAAATGCAAAGCCAAATGGGGGCTCGTTTGCCTCCCAACTCCCCTTGGTGGATTAGGGATCCTTAATATCGAAAAATTTGCGAGGGCGCTATGACTTCGATGGCCTTGGCTAGAGTGGACCGACCCGAGTCGGTCTTGGGTGAGTTTGGGAATGTCATGTGACGCGGATGGTATGAACCTTTTATACAAGTGCACCAACATTGTGGTTAGGGATGGAAATAAGGCCAAATTTCAGCATGCCTCGTGGCTCAATGGCGTGAAGCCGAAAGAAATTGCTCCCTCAATCTTTGCGTTGTTCAAGCTAAAGAACGGAACTGTTACACTTGTGGGTGATGAATGGATAAGCCAGATGGACATTTCAATGGAGCTGAATGTGCAGAAGCTCATGGAGTTCTTTCTCCCTAGGGGAGCTCCTTAGTGAGGTGCATTTAGACGACGACATGCCTGAAGCCATAAATGAAAGCTAACCATCTTCGGAGCCTACTTGTCGGTGTCCGCTTACAAGGCACAGTTTGATGACATTGCCTCGTCCACCTTTAAGCCGATGGTGTCGAGCAATTGGGCGCCTCCTATGATCATTTTTTTGCTTGGCTTATCTTGCAAAAGAAAATCCGGACAGCTTACCGCCTTCAACGCCGAGGTTGGCCGAACTGCAGCCTCTTACAAGCTTTGCAATAGAGCCTTGGAAACTATTGCACACCTTATGTTCCAGTGTCACTTCTCCATGCACATTTGGACCATGCTAGGAGATTGGCTTGGTCTTCACAATCTCTCCTATGTCGATTGTCATAACTTTCATGATGTCAAAATTGGCGGTTCGCTGTCATCCATGTCAATGGTCACCGGAGGAAGGCTCTCGCCTCCCTCATGATGCTCACGTCTTGGGAAATTGGAACGAGAGAAATGCGTGGGTGTTTCGGAACATTTATGCCTCACCAATGACTATCTTTGCCAACATCAAGTGCTAGGCAGTGTGCTGTGGGCGAAGCACTTGAGAATGGCCTTGCCGCGAGAGTAATCCCTTCCATGTATTTGTCGCGCCCTCATTCAAGTGGTGTACTTTATTAACGTACATCGGTACATGGAGTTTCTGTACTCAGGTGCATATGCACCCAAGTGAACAGTAAAATCAGAAGAAAAAATATATAATAATTTTAAATATTTTTTTTGCCAGAAACATTGATGAATGTTTTAAGAACAAATAAATTCTCGTGCTGAAGAAATATTCGTGGAGGTCCAGGCAAAACATACAAAAATGATGTTCTTAAAGGGCAATTTTTAAAAGCTTTTTGGGACATCGATCTTTTTTCCAGATGTCCACGAATGTTTTTCATCTCTAAACTTTGCATGTTGATAAAACATTCAACAATGTTTGTCAGGAATTCATTTTTGACTTTTCCCTGTTTTTTCTAATGCACCCAGGAGCAGAGCAACACTTCCGTTCATAAACCTTCTTTTGATTCAACGAAATGAAGCAAAGCTTTTACCCATGTATCAAGAGAAAGAAACTGCTGTCAAGAAAAATATAGGAGAGTTTGATCACTCAGGCAGACAACACAAGTTTTTTTCTCATAAAAAAACAACCTTGAACTATCTCGACACATGACACATTACTTATCAGACGTTAATATTATCTCAGCTTATTCATTTGACTTCATATCCGCAAGCTATTCCCATGCACCGGCATTCAACTCAAACTCCCAAGCTAACTGGGAAAAGAATATAGAAGATTCACTACTTCTTTTCTTATCCATGAGTACAGATTAATTATAATTGCTGTACATTCGTTCTAAATACAACATGGTTGAAACCATAGAGCATTTACGGTTATACAGCTAACGGTACAATTTTCAGGCATGTGCAGCAGCTAAGCAATACAATGTATATAAAAAGCCACTATGCTAGGGGGAGAAGCCACACTGGAGGATTAGGGCTACCCCTGACATAGTATCCTACTGCCCCAATCCTATGAACCCCGCCCACGGCTGCGGATAAGCTTTCATCTTCCCTGTAGTACACGGAATCACCATCAGCGTTGGAGCTTGTCAGGAACACCAGGTCAGTGCTGAGAAGGACCTCCTTCTGTGCTAAGCGGCGATGGTAGGAGTAGTAGATGTGGTTTCTCTTCACACCGCCGCGCCTGTCTGCTGACACATGCACCGCCTTGGAGCTGTTTGGACCCAGGAATAGGGCAAAGTCACCCAAGCTCATCACCTCTGTCCATTTGTGTGTGCCATGTGCCATCCCCTCGCTGGTGTCGATGTCAACAAGTTCGAACACTTTGAAGAAAGGTCTGAGGTTGGGTGACCATGGGGACCTCACCGCCGTCGCAAGCTTGCCGTGTAGCTCAAAAATGTAGCTGGCATCCACCCGGTTGGCCCAGACACTGGGGGGCTGCTGGTGCTCGACAGTGACCACTAGCCGATCAACGGCTGTGACCACGGGCGCACCATCTTCATCAGCACCGATCTCAAACTTGACAAGTTCCCATCTGTCCCGTGTGAGACCATAGAGCTTACCGTTGCAAAAGGCGATGTCTGCAAGCTCCATGGTGTAGCTTACATGTCCTTTTGTTGTCCACCCACCGTTCGGACACCCAACCCTGCAGAGCGCGATGCCGTGATTGTCGGTGATGGCAGCAATGATACAGTCACTTGAGGTGGGTGGTTTGGAGAAGATGATTTTCCAAATGATGATCTGGCCAAGGCGGCCTGGGCAAACGATCCCCTTCTGTTTCTCGGAGAGCGCAACCTCAACACTGGAGAAAATGTTCAAGATCCTGAACGGTGGTGGTTCGAATGATGCAACCCAGCCACCACCATGACAGCCGACGAACCAGTTGCCGATGAAATCGCTCGGGAGCGAGATGCACAGGATCTTGCTGTCCTCAGGACAGTAGAGGCGCTTCGTTGTGTCACGGTCGCGTGGTGAGAGGAGCAGCCACGGGAGTTCAGGCAGCGCGGGGTGCCGCGAAGCTGCAGTGCACCACGATCTGCAGACGGCAGCAAAGCGCACGCGGCTGCAGTGACTGGGGACCTTGTTGTAGATGACGTCAAGGGGATCATCGGGAAACGTGGAAGACCAGCATTGTACTGCCGTTGCATCACTATCATGAACAATGAACTCAACTGAGTCCTTGTACTCCAGAAATTCCTTCCACTGCTTGCCAATGCTTAGCTGGTAAAATAACAAGGAAGATGCTTAAGACTGGATGATCCAGACAGAAACAACTTAATAAACACGCACACAGACCACCAACCAACACTCAGTATATACTAATATCCCCTCTGTTGATTAATGTGCAGTGTTTTTGGACTTTGCACAAAGACAGGTGATAAAACTGACCTCTGATGATTGCCTTACAAGAATGAAGGAGTATTTTGCATGGGTGATATTGCTAATGAATAGGTGCATGCGAGAGAGAAAGGATCATGCTGAGTAAAATACTTCATTTGTCCTACATACATTTATCAAATAAGCTTCAAAAATAGTATGCCTTGCATCCAGGGGCAGATCCAGCCCAGCAGGCCGCCCAGGCCCCATTGTATGCTGTACAATTGGTACAGTATTTTGCTACAGCACAAAGGATTTGGGCCTCATGC